TGAGATGAATGCGTACATGATGTTAGGTGATGCCCACTTGCAGAAAGAAGAATATGATGATGCAATATCATACAGTAATAAATGTCTTGCCGTCGCACAAGCATGTGGTGATAAAGTGGTTGAGATGAGTGCGTACAAGATGTTAGGAAATGCCCACTTGGAGAAGGAAGAATATGATGATGCTATATCATACAGTAAAAAATTTCTTGCCAAAGACAAAGAATCTGGTCAGAAAGAGGTTGAGATGGCTGCGTACAAGACGTTAGGGGAAGCACACATGGAGAAAGAAGAATATGATGATGCTATATCACACAGTACAAAATGTCTCGCTATTGCACAAGATTCTGGTAATAACAAATATGAGATGATCGCGTACATGATGTTAGGAAATGACCACTTGAAGAAAGGAGAATATGATAATAGTATATTATACGGTAACAAATGTCTTGCCATCGCCAAAGAATCTGGTGATAAAGAAAGAGAGATGGATGCGAACACTATGTTAGGAAATGCCTACTCAAAGAAATAAAGAATACGATGATGCTCACTCCTTCTTTACAGAAGCCAAGACAATTGCGAGGGAACCAGAGGACAACCACAAAGTCTCATATCTTGGAATACGTATTAACGAAATTTCTGAAATAGTTGGCATGTCTGAAGGACATAGTGAATTAGTATCACCCCTGAAGGAGTTTCCAGATGTTGTTCAGGAAAATGAAAGTCTTTTCCATTCGTTTTTTCGCTTCTTGCATCTTAAAGCAAACTACAAATACGAGGAAGCTATTTCATGTCTTGAGGATTTTATGGCGCACGGAAAGAACAGTATCAATGAAGATGAATATCGTGAACTCTTATGGACTTGTAAGCAAAACATCTCAGAGTTGCATGTATTACTTAAGGACTACGATAAGGGCATACAGTATCAACAAGAAGCACTTGATGTCGCACGCAAACAGGGCTCAAAGGCCAATCAGGCAAAGACCCATTTTAGCCTAGGCAAAGTCTATTATAAACTTAAGAAGTTTGAGAATGCAGAGARGTCATTCAAAGAATCGTTAACGTGCTATGAATTGATATTTGTTGGTCTTAAGCAAAACGATCGATTCAAAATAGCTTTCATTGATAAATACAAAGAGACTTTCAAGCTGCTTCTAAAGGTTCTTATTGAAAGAAATAAGAAAGAAGAAGCTCTGTCATTGTCTGACCACTATCGTGCAAAAGCCCTGAAAGATCTCCTTGTTTCAAACTATGGAATGAAGAAAGAACAAACTGCTGATGAGGATTTACAGTACGCCGATGTCCAGTCTCTTGTCTCCAGCAGTGATTACACTCTTCTGTTTTATTCAACGTGTTTTGACGAGTTGTCAAAAGTTGGATTTTCAGTCCAACGTTTTAAATACTGTGATACATGTGTAGACAAGCTTGTTGATGAAAGATTTGAAGATATGAAAGTACCGCGTCAAGTAATCCACTGTGAGGACAGATCATTAGACAACATGCACTACTCTGAAGAAAACAAGAATCCAAAAGATGATGAATTAACGCAGCTGTTGATTCAACAGAGAGAAAAGAGATTATCACGATATTGCCGTTCTACTTGTGTATGCAGAGAAAACCCATCGGAAAACTGCGATGAGAGCAGACTGACCAGTGGCCTGGAAATATTGTATCAAAAGTTAATAAACAATATCAAATCTTTGAATAAACAAGACGAAATGGTCATTATTCCTGAAGGTCCTTGGTACAGATTACCATTTGCTGCCCTACGGGACCCAGACACGGGACAGTATTTGTCTGAAAGAATGCGGATTAGAATGGCTCCTTCAATGGCATCTTTAAAGTTCCTCCAAGAATATCCAGTGAAGCATCACTCCAGAAACGAGGCATTAATTATTGGCAATCCCATAGTTGGTGAAGTCATGTTGGATAGAGCTCCGTTTAAATTTGCCCCCTTACCAGGCGCAGAAAAAGAGGCAGATGAAATAGCTCTCATACTTAAAGTTACGTCGTTATTGGGAACTAAGGCTACAAAGCCCGTTGTCATAAAGAGACTACAAGAAGGAGCGTCTGTTGTTCACATTGCTGCGCACGGTAGCCTGGAAAAGGCCACAATCGTACTTGCTCCTTCTCCTGAGATAAGAAAAACAAAGATCCCAGATGAAAAAGATTACATGCTGACCATGGCTGATGTACAGCAAACTCAAGTACGTGCACAGTTAGTTGTGTTAAGCTGCTGTTACAGTGGACGTGGTGAGATTAAAGCTGAAGGTGTAGTTGGTATGTGTCGCGCCTTTCTCGCGTCAGGTGCTCGTGCTGTAGTGGGTTCCCTGTGGGCCATCAATGACGATGCTACTTTGATGTTTATGAAAAAGTTTTACAAGTATCTGAAGGACGGCAAGAACGCAAGTACCAGCCTAAATCTGACGATGAAGGACATGAAAAGAACGCCACAATACAGTGAACCAAAGTATTGGGCTCCTTTCTTCTTGATGGGCGATGATGTGACGATCCAGTTCAAAGATTAGCACAGTAAAGATGATATTTTTTGAGGAAAGTTTCCTTTGGACATTATTTCCATAAACAGTGAGTAAAATATAACAATTATCAAGTTTAAAGATTCAAAGGATTAACAGTATGTATTCACTTTAGTGCAAAACCTGTTTTAGTTGGGAGGGGCGTAGATCAAGAACACGACAACGAGGTCAGTGAGGCAAAGAGAATATAATGTTCAAGATTCTTGCTTTAGTATCATTTTCTTAGTTTCCTTGTTATCATCATGTCAGTACCTCACAGCTAAAAGGGTTTTGCTACTGTATATATAAAACATAAAGTGTGCGCTAAGTTAGAACTACATAAAGCACCTAGACTAGGACACCGACCCTGATAACGAGAGTTAACTGTATTGACGGGTACCTTCATGTAACCAATATTGAATGACATGTGACTGTGAAGGTGTGAGGTGTGAGTTGTAGAGTACCTGAACTAGCTCATGGTATGTTGGTAGAACATTATTAGTCAGCTTTACTGTCTCGTTTTAAACTTTTTTAAAAATTATTTCATTATTAATAAGGTTTGAATAATGATTTAGGATTGGATTTTGACAATGTACGTCAGTCAATTTTCTAGCAAGCATTGAATGCTTATCTCAATTAGGTCAAGTCGGGGGGAATCTTAACTATTAATAAGAAAAGTTGGTTCATTGAACTAATCTAATTTAGTCTAGGGGAGAATATAGGGATTCACTGTTTGGGTGGAGAGTAACAATGTTGCCAGTTTGATGAAGTCCTCAAGCCCTATTCTATCTGTACATAGATACAACTATAATATTAATTCTTTCCGTTCGTTGGAACGATTTCTTAGCATGGCAAAATCGCTGGATTGTGGTCCAGCTTGGGTGCATAAAATCTTTAACTCACCTTGCATTACAATGAGTTAATCGTACCCAAGCCAGACAAGAACGATTCTGGTTAGACTTCAGGAGAAAATAAGTCTTCAATAACTACATTTGTAGCTGAGTAACTTTCAGTTGACCATCCAAAGTTCAAAGAAAGGCTGGTAGCGACCTAGTCGTGCATAAGATTGTGGGGACAATATCGAAAAGCTCCGCCATCTTACGTCCCCCATTCAGCCCCATAATCCTTTTCACTTCAAGGAGGTTAAGAGTCTTAGTTCTTCAAACTTTGGAAAAGCGAAGTCAACTGACCGTATTACTCGTAGAATTAAACACAAACAAATTTTTTCTTTAGATATAGAGAGGGGTTTTACGACAGCCATGTCGTTTCCAAAAGAAGAACACTCTTATTGCTGTTCCTTACAACATATGTTTGCCATTAAGCCCCTCTGTTGGTTTTATTTCAAAACAAAAATATAGAAAAATATAATATTCACACTTTATATTCGTTGGGTTTTACAAGCCAATGCTTCGTATATAAAAAAAATTGTAGAAAGAATAAATAGCGAAGGCATTGAGTGTATTTTTGGTATTTTGACTTTATTATTAAACTAGTTAGTTATTGAATTACCTTGAAGTGTTAGTTTGGTTCTTCATTTTATCT